AAACCCATTTTTCCACAGATACGTATTACTGGCATTGTGTGGCTGTGCTTTGTGCTTTCAGTGGGGCAGTTCTCTACACTGTAGTTATGGCCATTTGATAAGGCAGGGTCACTGTTTAGGCATAGAAATGATGATGAATGCTATAACTGATGATGCCAAGAAAAAAGGCAAAGTGCCCATCTCCAAGTAAAAGAGCTGGTGTGATACTGGGGCATTCATCTGCAAAGATAAACTTCACATAGAGAGGGAAGTTGGCTCTGACCATTTCAGACACCAATACTTGAAAACTGTCTACATCTGAATTGTTACTGTAAGCTGTAAGTGGGAATACATCAACATAGTGGAGTTTGATGTCATTCCTCTTATTCTGGGGCAGACATCTAAATCAGCTCAGATTAATGCTGCCCTAGAACACTATTTTTTAATCACAGTTTTTTTGCTACCTGTCCTCCAATTTCAATAGAAAAAGGCATTTGGGTTCACTTATTGCCTTAATGCATTGGAAATTGTTTCTGGCAGCTATAAAATACTTCATTGCATCCTAGAATAGCAGTATTTTACTTGAAAGGTTTTTTTCTACTCTATGGGGCATTTAACTTAAAAAAAAAAAAGTTATTTAAAGGAGACTCTGTCAATGACCTAAAACAAAGAAAATGAATCCTAACAAATCCCAAGTTCTGGTAATTTGCTTTTCTTAGATTCTTGGGATGCTTTACATTATGATAAAACAAGTGGCTGGTTTAAGTTCTTTTAATATTCTTTTCAGTGCATTGACCATATCTCTTAGAAGTAACACGATCAAAATAGAGCAAAAAGGTCACACTAAATAAGAACAGATTTAATGAAGAATGCAAATCATTTAACATTCATTAGTCATCAGAAATGGATTTACCTTGGTGTCAGGTGTGTATTTGGGAAAATCTGCCGAGTTCCACACTGTCAAAGCAGCTGTTACTGAACAGAGTTTTCAATGTCAGGAAGTTTCAAAATCTGGAATACAGAATTACATTTAAAACCCAGTCAATTATTGCACCAATCCAAGCTGGCAAAGGTGTTCATCCCATCCTAATGAACATTCCCAATCATTTCTAACAGTCTAAGAATGCAAATTATTTTGAAGTAATTGCATTAAATTGTTTCAGACCAAAAGAACCCCGAAACTCTTAACAGCATACACCAACCCAAATACTTTCTCTGGCTGTTGTATCCTGCTGTATCCAAGAACTCAAAGGTCTGAACATTTCCTTTCCACGATCAGGAACTTGCTCATAATATTCACTCTCCTCCCAAAATTTTGCGTGAGCAGCAATAGCCTTTGTTCCTTGTGTTTGGAAAACTTGTCTCAGACACCCAGGAACTGCTCAAATTGACAATGAACATTTTCCACGTTTAAGTTTACACTCACAACTTTTTCCTGCTAAGCTGAAAAACAGCAGTTGAAAGAACAGCTTCACCTTTTCTGTGATCACCAGAGCATTTGGCGTGACATTTACTGTAGCGCTTCACCGCTTTGAAGTGAGAAAAATTCCTTTACTTGGGGTCTCCCCCACCCCCTTTGCTTTGCTAGGTTAACAGTACCAGACCCAGAAGGGGCAGGAGGAGGGCAGGGTGCCAGGAGTCCAACCCTTCAGCAGGCAACTGTTCGACTTGTTGCAACAGCTCTGTACGTTACTGACGCCACAGGATTTCATATCCATCGCTAATACTGTTTGCCTTGACAGCAAATAAACTTAATCCAAATTAATGCCATCTCAATAAATGTTAATGAATGCTATCTGGAAACCAAACCAAATTATCTTAATGGTTTGTTACTGTTTGAAAGGATAAACAGCAAATGTAACTGAGTAGATCTGGTTTTATCTTCATTCTGTACCTTTGCAGACTAAACCGACGGTGAAACGGTCAAAGCGTACTGAAAGATGTTGAGGTGCTGGGCCAGCGAAGCTCTACTGAAAATGAGTAAAACTTAAGCTCCTAAAAGCCCCAGATGCCTCTAGCAGCAGATCTCAAAAGGCAGCCACAGCTGCTGTTCTCTCAGAAGGTGCCCACCAGGTTTGCCCTCATGGAAACAAAGAATTCCAGACAGAGGTTGTGGTGATGCTTACGGTGCTCAGCAGGCGTAGAGTGATTTACCTCATGCTACTCACTCCCTCCCCCAGAGGCTCCATCTGCCTGGGGCACTTAAAATGGCCTGCATCTAATTTTCCAACTTTTTAGGTGTTTAGTATGAAAAGAGGAAATTCTGTTGACCTCCAACATTTGCACCTGTTTGTAAGACCATCTCATCCTGAGAGTTCTTTCTGGTTCTTTTTCACAGAAATGCATTAGCAGAGGGGAACTGCAAGTATCCTTGTCTTACCAGCCTGTGGCGCAGAGAATGACTGTCGTGGTGCTGAAAGCCAGACATTTGCCAAAGATGGACATCACTGGCCTCTCAGGTAGAAGCTATCTTCTCCAGCTCTAAACATGTAGTGAAAAAAAATCTTTGAGTTCACTTTCTGATCTTTTCATCTCTGTTATATCTGAAGATTTTCTTTGTTTGCATATTTCCCCTCAAACTCTTAAGGGTGATGAAGCACTACAAGTGATCCATCACTCACCAACAGATGGTTATACAAACAGGATCAAATCCTTCCTGCTGCGAGACCAACAGTTGCATCTTTCTGGCATCCCCTGGTTTGCTTACAGACAGTATTCTCCCAATTCAGCAGATCTCCACGGTCCTTTTGGCCAGACTGTGCAGTCTCTGCCTCCATGCTGCCCTTAGCACGTTCGTGGCACGGCGGCTGCTTGCTGCGTGCTCCAACCCTGCCCCTTAGAAGAAGGGGGTGAAAGACAGCAAACATAAAAAAGAGAAGCAATAGACTCAGAACAGAGAGGAGTATATTTACATGACATTAGAAACAATTCTGGATTTTTGTTTCTTTTTGCTGTTTTTGTTGTTCTGCTGTTTGAAGAAAAGAGCAGCTGTTCTGGCTTTCCTATTTCAGAGTCACAGATTCTCAAACTCTGAATCCCCTTAGAAAGGTTTCCTTCAGGATTATGGGAAAACAGTTGGAATCAACTTAAGATTCAATAATAGAATGACCAGTAGCAAATGTAGTCCTGTTTGTGCAGCTTTCTCCTGTACACCTCAGAAAGAATGCAGACTAGGCTTCATTTTTTATTGTAGGCCTTAAGTTTTCCTCTTTCTTACAAAAAAAAAAAAAAAAAACAAAACAAAAAAACAAAACAAGCAGCTGTCTGTGTGTGGTCTCCAACTACAGGATATACTTTTCACTTACTGTTCTTCTACTTTCCAAATACCACAAGGCTAACATAATTTCTTTCCCTTCGCTTTATATTGTGCATAAACTCATAATTTCAGTTGGATTAAAAATAATTGAAAATTACGCAGCGTTAGGTGGGCAAGTGACCTCCAGCTTCAAAACTTGAGTTACATGGAAAAAAACCCACACCGTGTTTCTGGGTCTTAATTTTAATCCTAAACTAGCATCTGCATAAAGAGCAGGCTGACTGATAAAATAACAACATAAGGCTATAGAAAATGAAGGGTTTGTTTTAAACTTTCTTCTTTTTTCAATACCTTCCACTATAAGTATTTTCTATCTGCAAATTATTAAAATTGTTTTGATGCTTTGTTGGGCTATTTCCAGGAATAAGGTAAAAATATTTCTTGTTACAGATGACAGTGAAAAGTGGAAGTTTTGGCCAGTTGGGCACTGACCTTACCAAAACGCTCCCCATTCGATAGTCCTGGGATTAATGACCACAATTTACGTGCAACTTGCTTCCCCCCAAGCCCCATGCAGTGTTGAAACTCCTAAAGAACTTGTTCTGCTAACATCAGCTGGTTGCTTTGCAATGAGAAGACGTGCCAGGAGGGCCCCCCTCCTGGGGGAGCAAAACCTGGATTCACAGCACTCGCTTGAGCTCGCGCCCGTTCAGCAAGCTGGATCCTGTCCTTGGTCCAGGGAGTTACTGGGCTGTGTTATTAGTTTATTTCTCTCCTCTCTCTGGCAGATCCCTACGTCAAGGTGAATGTTTATTACGGAAGAAAGCGCATAGCGAAAAAGAAGACTCACGTGAAGAAGTGCACTTTGAATCCCGTCTTCAACGAATCCTTCATTTACGACATCCCTGTTGATCTCCTTCCTGACATCAGCATCGAGTTCCTAGTTATCGATTTCGACCGTACCACAAAAAACGAAGTGGTGGGCCGGCTGATTTTGGGAGCACACAGCGTCACGGCAGGGGGCGTGGAGCACTGGCGAGAGGTGTGTGAGAGCCCTAGGAAGCCAGTCGCCAAGTGGCACAGCCTGAGCGAATACTAGCAGAGCTGCGGCAGTGACAGCTGACTCGTAGGACAGACTTAAACCTTGTTTTAGCTGTAGAACTAAACGTTCCTAAGAAGCAGCAGCTGATTGGTTCTCTAGTGATGTGATTTTTGCAGGGCACTAAAATTCTAAAGAGCATTAAGTGGAGGAAAAAAAAAAGATACCACAACTATATAACAGTGTAATCACACTATTGCATGCCTAATACAAACTGAAATTAGTATAACTACCAATATCAAGTTGCAGATTTTAATACGATTATCTGTCACTATGGAAGTTGTGTTTGTGCCGAACTGTCTTTGCTGGTATTCACCAAGATTGGCCTGTCTTTATTAGGCTTCTCCCAAAATTTCTGAATTCTGCTGTTTAACCTCTAGTTTCTTGTTAGTTTGCTTGCCCATTGGTCCTTGCAAGTTCTGTTCTTTGCTGGTTTGGGAGTACCAACCGCATTTCCATGTAAAGGTGGTTTAGAATTCTGCACTAGTACAAAAGGAAAATACAGGAAAATGGCACTTTCCTTCTGAGAAGAAGGAATAATTCTGTTGTCAGGTACTGAAGTACTTGCCGTTGCGACATACTTGTGGAGCTATAAGGTCACAATATCAAAAATTTGCATCTAATCTTCAAACACCAACAAACTGATCACATTTTTGCCACGTGGAAGTTAGCACAGGCATGATCTCACAGACTATCTGAATTGGGGAAACTCCACTATTTCACTGTATTTAACCTTGTCTGTGCATGAAGGGCCCAAGGGAAAAAAAAAAAAAAGGACAGAAAAAACAACTGATGCGTCATTGACGGGCAAAGAAACTCTTGCTGATTCTGTTACACATTAAATGTGAAATTCTACATGATTGATAAGCTCTGTTATAATGGTGTCACATATCTGAGATAGGAAAATAGCTTGGGGAAAGAGGATTTAAGTGAAAAAATTACAAAGCTTCCCTTCATTCATAGTTGATTCAATTTGCACGATATCATCTTGCAACTACCTAAGAGCCAGCTCTCAGAAAAGGAGTAAACGTAGAGGAACGCCTGTCACTACAAATGTGTCAGATTCTTCAAGAAGTTTCAGAGTTCCAAGGGAGCTCGAGTTAGTTCTTTAAACTGTGAATGACTCCTTAGACTTAGGATAGGCTCACCATCACCTCTGAAGTGTCAAAACGTTACTTGACAAGTGTGACCTGTAGCACTTCAGGCTATTAACCCTGAATAGTCAACAGTTTTGAACAGAAGTTCATAAAATGTTCCACAAATACAAGTTTGGAAGTAGCTGCATTAGATCTCATGGTAAATACACGAGCCTATGAACTGGTATTGTACAGGACAGTAGCATCCTGGCAAGTAACTCTGTTTGGCTTCTTATTACATTCAAGCCAGGAAAGATACAAGGATGATAATTGGCAGCAAATAATTGATTGTAAACATTATTGGTAAACTAGGCAGAAATAGTTATAACCGGCAGTAGAAATGAAAATTATTTCTGAACTCTCTAATGCAAATATGAGGCAGAAGTGAGCTTGCAAAGAGGCACGAAGAAGACCACAAATATTCAGTCAACATAGAGTAGCTTCCTGGCAGCCAGTCTGTTCTATGCCCTGTGGAATGTAAATAATGTATTATAATTAACAAAAGTTAAGATCATTTAACTGCTTACAAGACTTGACTAATGACTTTTAGAGCCTTGTTGGAAAAAATGATCCTTTCCATCTTTGTACTGATGAAAGTACAATAATTGAGCAAGTCTTACTCTGTTTTCTCTCCAGCCACCATGTAAAGCAACAGCTGCTGGGAGGGCTCTGTGTAAATGGATAGCACTTTGCTAGTTGGCAATACTTTGGCATCTCTTCCCAAGAAATTATTTTTCGAAAGCTGAATTTTTTCACTCAAATCTCTTTCCAAGCAGAGTGTCCTTTTAGCAACAGAAGTCACATAGAAGCTGAAGCTCTCAATTTCTCAGCCTTGCATGGCAGACAGAAGCGTGGACTTCATTTGTGCTTTATTGATCCTGATTATGAGGATTTCTGCCCGAGGTTACAGATTTTATCTTTGTCTTAAAAGCTTTCTAGCTCATGCTCTATTAGTGGCTCACAGCCACAAACCAGAGAACAAGTTCTCCCTTGCAAATTGGTGTAGATCTAGTTCAATCCTAGTTTTTGCACTAAGCAATTGTGTTGCTGAAGTCCAGCAACTGTCTCAACTGTTCCTCAGAACATGCTTTCCAACACCACTTCAAACACCTGAACACGACCTAGGAACAACAACAAAGTTCTCTTTTTCCCCTTCGGTGTGAGAAGCGTGCTTAAGCCTAGACGATCTCCTTAAAATTCCTTTAGTCGAAAAGGTAAGATGAACTTCTTGTCAAGGAAACATGCTCAGGGTAAATAGATGTAGGCTATTGGGCAGATAGAAGTAGCTCCAACATTCTTCTGGAATAATAGGAAACTGAAGATGTGCAGATATATATTTTTTAAAACTTAAAATAGACAGTAAGTGACAGCGGACTCACTGTAAAATCTCCCAGGTGTGGTTATTCTTTACCTTGTGTCTTCTATTGTAAAATTAACTTGGACAGTTACAACTTTGTGTGGAAAAAAAAAAAAAGCAAAAAAACCTAACTCAATGTGTGAAACTGCATAATGCTGTAAGCTAATCTACATAATGTAATGCTATCTTGTATGTTGAATTTGTTAATGCACATTGAGCGTGCAAATAAAAATTAAATCACTTTAGCTTCAGAGTGTGCCATGTTTGACCACAGGCAACACATACATGACTGTACAGGATACTTTAAGAATTTGTTTCTAAAAAACATGCATTTCTGCTAGGACAACTCACAGGAAAAGCACACACAAGAAATCTCAGAGAAATAAAGGACCATAACAGAATCCTGGCAAATTAAGTAAAATACTATTACCTAAGCATTAGCACATGCAAGAGCTCTCAGTGATCTACACAGCATTATAATTTAGTCTAATTTGTCATGAGGGGATATATTCATTAGCCATGTTGAATCTAAGTGAGAAAAGAAGACGTGGGCAAAAAGAGAAGCAATTTGACTCCTCATTTTTTTAATTCAGGGACATTCCCAGATTCCTTGTTAGAACCGACTTCTCTGAGAACACTTCTGTCCACCTCACTCTCTGCAATATGCAAGTCTGTTCTAAAGCACAGTGATCCAGCTTCTGTGCCTTGTTTTTCTTCAGCTCCCCACCAGCACTACACACAACACTGCCAGGCACAAAGCCCTGTCTCTACAAAATGCCTGATAGTCCCGAGCAGCCAGCTCTGTTTCCCCAGCAACACAGGCAATTCATTCCAAAATGAATGTAACAAGAGGAACAAGCGATCACCAAAGCAAGGTTTATCAAATATCGAGTGTCTCACAGTATTAAGCTATTAAAAGAATCAAATACAACACTGAGATCTATGTACTAAAGTCTTCCAATAATTAAAAGAAATACATACGTCATGCCTTTGCATATATGTCTAGGTCTCTAAAAGGAACACCAAGAGCATAGATAAAAATCAACATATAACCACACACAACAGCACAAAGCCTCAGCTAATGCTTTCAAATTTATTTATTTTTTTCCTTAAACTAATATAGCAATAACCAGTCTGGTAAAAAAAAAAAAAAATTAAGCTTGGAAACAGCAGGAAAAAAAAAGAGTATAAAAGTATTGAATAGGAAAGATGCTCTTACACAAGAGCTGCACAGCCCAGCCAGAAAAATCCAACAGTAGGTCTGTACAGAGCATTGTCTAATCATGTTGGACACTGTCAAGGCTGAGTCACTGTCTTGGCCATCACCAATCTATAGAATTTTTTAAAAAAAGTTATTACCAATATTCTCTGCAGAGAACAGCTGTATTTCCAAGTAACTCCAATGTTGGGGTGACACGGTAGCTCTAGACAAGAACACTTGCACTTTTTCTTACCCTGTCTTCGAAGTGCTGCACTCTATTTGTACAACAGAAGAAAAAAAGAAAACCCACAGAAAAAAAAAATCAAAAAGCAAACAAGATAAAAAAATTAAAGCAAATTCATCCAAGCATTCTTTGAGGTCTCATGGCAATATTGGTTTTACTGGTTTGTGCACATTAGGGAGCCCATGTTTATGTACACACTTACCTTTAGGCCACACAATAAGTTTTATATTTTGTTTTCCTTTTCATCCTTAGTCATCCCAAAGTTATGTTTCTCAGTACCACGTTTTGATAACGTTTTCAGAGGAGTTTGTTTGTTTTTTTTTTTTTTTTCTATATATATTTTTAGGGTTTATGTCTTCATATAGCATTCAAATTACATGCAGGATCTAAAGCTGATTATAGTAAAGAAAGCATTTGCCAGAATTTGCCTGTCAGTGATGGCTCGTTCTTCTGCTGCAGGCCATCTAGTGGCTTAGCTGTCAGAGCACAAACTGAGTCGGATGCTTTTTGTGCATCTTCTGTCAATTTAATGCACAGACTCACAGGAAGAAATTATCTCACCCAATGCCAAGAGAAACGTTTATTTCTGCTCATCTGATGTGGCAAAGCTCAGACCAGAATACAGCGGCTTGCATTGCAGGATGAAGCACAGCTCAAGAGCCTTCAGCCGAAGGCTCCGAAGTTTTTACTGTTTTTTCATACAGATGTACAACAGACAGCACGTCAGTAAGCTGCCCCTGACCCAGATACTTGACTTCATCATCTGGTCTCTATATGGTATAATTTTGTTTCACTCCCTGACTTTTGTGACAAGTGTTGCCACTTTAATCCTGCATGAACTTTGGCAGGTGATTTGTTTTGTTTTTTTTTTTCCAGTTCTCAGTTACATTAACTTCCATGTATCTTAAAGTTTACCTTTTGCACTTCTGTGAACAGCTTCCTGTTACCTCAGCAGAAGACTGATCTTTATTCACAGCTAGGAGATGGCACAGTTCTGCATTCCTGTAATAAAATCACACAAAGCAAATGTGTATCAGCACTAAAGAATATAGGAATTTCCTTTGTACCCTCCAAGCCGACAGCAAATAGTGCTTATTTACACACACATGCTGACTACAACAGCATCAGACCCTTCTTAGCCAACATTTCTTCGCTCCTGGTAACAGGGACACTGCGAGCAGATCTCAACAATGACAACCTCAGAT